AGTTCCTGAAACTGCTTGAAATCGTCTGCAGTGGTGGGAGGTTGAGGCATAATCAATTGAATGTCAGGTGGTTCATCTGGGTCCAAGAATTGCTCCTGTTCTTCAGCTCCATGTTCAGAGACAGCAGAAGGTGCCTTGGATGGCAATATGGGTGGCTGAGGTGACCCACTTAGGGGCAGAGTGGTGGGTACTGCCTGTTTCTGTGGTGGATATGGAGCCCATGGCTGCCAGAATGGCCATTGCATGTGGAAGGGCATTGTGGACATCCAGGGTTGGCTATACCAGGCTTAATTTATAAATTTTACAGAGAAACACATGCTTGGTGGGGCCTGTGTAGTGGGTGTAGCCACAGGAGAGGAAAGCTGGAGCAAGTACCCTATATTCTCCTCCCCCCTAGAAAATTGTGTGAAAACTGTAGAGAGCTGGGTTGGCTAAGTACCTCGTGTACCGTGGTACTGTTGGTGCCAAGGAGAGGAGACTGTGGTACTGATGAGATAGATAAGTCTGTATGAGAGAGGAACTGCTGTGACATGCCCAGTCCTGGTGGAATGAGGGAACTCAGTACTGTGTGCTGGTGTGAGCTTATGGCCACAGGTGTGTGGCTGGAATGCATAGTGCCAGCAGTAGGTGGCGACATTAGAAGAGGGATGCTTGGTACCGATGGTTTGTTGGTTGTTGTCGGTGCCGCAGCATGAGGTTTCACTTTCCCTTTGCCGCCTGTGTCAGAGCTCGACTGCTTAGGAACTCTGGGTTTCTTGTTACCGTCGGTGCCGGAGGGACCTGGTCTGTCGGTTGTTGGTACGGCCGGTGCAGTTGGTACCAGGAGTCTTTTGCCGCTATCGGAGCGCCTTTTCTTGGCCAACTCCAGAGTCGGGGATGTGGAGCCCAATTTCTTTGCCTTCTTGGTAAGTTGTTCAGGCTCTTTGCCTCTGAAAGAGGAGCCTTTATCTGAGGTGGCAGGTGGCGATTTCTGGCAGGGAGGGGTTCGTACCTCAGGCTCAGATGCCGGGGAAAGACTTCTCCATGAGGAGAAGCTTTATCTGTAAATCCCTGCCTTTTCTAGTGCGGGCTTTCAAGTTGTGGCAGTGCGAGCACTTTTGTGGTATGTGTGCCTCACGAGGCAACGGACACACTGAGAGTGTCCGTCTGAGAGAGGTATTGAAAGCCGGTAAGTAGTGCAGCGTTTAAAGCCTGAGGAACCGTATCTGGAGGGAGCGTATCTCTCAGTGATGTGGAGAGATAGATGCCACTGTGATTGGGGATAATGGAAACAAGATCCTGTGAGTAAAAAAAAATATATATATATATATATTTTTTTTTTTTTGAAGGGATGGGGATAAAGTAGGAAGGAAAAAGGCTATAATATTTGAACTAAGAACTGAGAACTATTGCTAAAGGAAAAAGGGCTTATTTCTAGGTGTGAGGCACTGCTGAGTACTCCAACTCGAACCAATGGCAGTAGAGAAGGAAGTGGGGTGTGTGTGGGTCGCACAGCATTAGTTAACTGCCTGAAGCGGTGTGAGATGGGGACTGCGCATGTGCGACCCAACCGGGCACTGCTACCTTAAATCTCCAGTTATGAGTGCAGGGGCGCAATGACACAAAGTGGACCACCCACAGGGACATCACTTGAAGAAGGAAGTGTGGTTGTGACACCCAGAATTCACAAAAACAGGGGCAGATTACTTATTTAATTGCTTGCGGTTTAAGGGCTAGCATTTAAAACTTCCCCCCATTTCTCCTTGGTGACCATATGCGATATCACTCTCCTGAGGGTAACAGAGGCAGAAAGAGAGCAGATGCTGCAAGCGTCTGGGTACAGACCTGGTCCTTATGCTGCATGCTGCAACGATGCCAGAAGAGTGAATACTGGAATGGCGTGGAAGTGTCCTATCGTGGTGGATGAAATAAGGCAGCCCTTCCCAGAAGCCTTCTGCAAAGGATTGCAGAGTACCTCCATGAAAGCTTCCTAGAGATCTCAAGGGAGGATTCCCAGGCCATTCCCGGACACATAAACGGTCTTTTTTGGAGAGCACCCTCTGTGTAGCTGGAGTGGTTGCCAATAACTTCTAAATTCAGATTCAACATTAAAAATAATAAAGAGTATTGTGGCCCGATAAAGACTAACAGATGTATTGCAGCATAAGCTTTCGTGGTATGCGTCTCACGAAGTGGGCATTCACCCACGAAAGCTTATGCTGCAATACATCTGTTAGTCTTTAAGGTGCCACAGGACTCTTTGTTGCTTTTTACAGATCCAGACTAACACGGCTACCCCTCTAATATTAAAAATAATATTATAGGACCCCTACAGTTTGATTGAAAAGGTTTACTCACCATAGGTGCCTTCCCCAGCATCACGCTCCGCCAACAATTGGTCCTGTGAGGGGATGGCCTCCAGAGTTAAAAAAAGTTCTTGGCTGTCAGAGATAATAGATCTTCTGCTTGCTTGCCACGCATTCGCCTCCTCCTTCTCTTCAACAATGTCCTCCTCGTTGTTGCCCGGGGCTCCTGGGAGGTATCCATGGAGCGTTTTGAGGTAGTGGTGGGGTTGCCACCTAGAATCACATTCAGCTCCTCGTAGAAGGGGCATGTCTGTGGCTCAGAACCAGAGCAACTGTTCACCTCCCTTGTCTTCTTGTACGCTTGCTGAAGCTCCTTTATTTTCACGCAGCACTGCTGTCTCTCCCTGGTGTAGCCCGTCTCCCCCAGACCTTGTGCAATTTTGGCATAGATGTTAGCCTTTCTTCTGCTGGATCGGAGCTCTGCCTGCACAGACTCTTCTTCCCATACAACAATAAGATCCACTACATCCTGTGTGCTCCATGCTGGAGCGCGTTTGCAGCCTTGAGCATCCATTGTCAGCTGTGGACGAGCTCTCCACGCTGATCAAACAGGAAATGAAAATTCAAAAGCTCCCGGGGCTGTAACATCGGGGCAGCTGTTCCCTGTGTACCTGGCTGAAGTGCAGTGGAGTTGAAAGTGCTCTCCAGAGCGGTTACAGCAGAGCACTGTGGAACATCGCCTGTAGGCCAATTTATTAGAATTACACAGCACAGTGTCTACACTATCCCCATGTTGATACGTGGATGTCGACTGAAGCGCTACGCCTCTTGTGGAGGTGAAGTACAGAAGTCGACTTTACAAGCCCTTTAGGTCAGCAGAAGGGACTCAGTAGTGTAGACATGTACATTATTAACTCAACCTAGCGTGGCATGTCGACCTAACTTTGTAATGTAGACCTCCTTTGTTCTCCTGTGAGGAAATAGGTTAGGAATTGACTTTTATTGGAGAAAGGAGCAAAGACACAGTTGGCATACAGTTCTCATACTCTTTAAAAGTTCAGTATCGGGGGTGGGGGTGTTAAAAAGGAGCTTCCCTGGACAGAAACATTCTGGTGTTTAAAAATAGCACAACAGAAATTCAGTAATATTGTTCTCTCTTACAAGGAGCCCAATTCCTCACAACTGGTCTTCTTTATTCCATTTATGTCCCTTAAAGCAACATGAATGGCTGGGAATTAATTTTTTTATACTTGATTAGTAGAAAGTATTTGTCCTCTTCAGGTTAAGTGGAAAGAATTCAGACTGAAGGGGGACATTCATTTCCATTTAAAAATTAAAATTTATTTAAAAATAACTATTCTTTAGTCCAGATGAAAGGCAGACAAAGGTAATTACATTCAGGGGGCAGGACAAAAAGTGACTGTGGCACATTAGATGGATATGGTTTCCTAAAGAACTGATGCAAGACATACTTTGACAACTTTATGATATGAGTAACATCTAATTAAACCATGTTTGGCAGAATTGGTTCACTGTCATTGACACTATGACTTGTAAAAACTAAGGGTTGGGTCCAGAAAGGTACGTAGGTGCCTAAACCTCACACTTGGACACCTAAGTCCCAGTTTTAGCTCCACTATGTCCACAAAACTCCTGCTGAATCCTGTAGGTGTCTAAATTCGTGCAGTGCCTAAGTTTTTAGAGTAAAAAGTTCCCACCATGCCTACATTCCTGCCTATGAGCAGGCACACTGCTGCCTGAGTCTAGGCATCCAGGTGCCTATATTCCGCCTAAGCCCCAGAGCAATTTATGAACCAGGGAGAGACAGATGTTTGGCTACCTAAGTCACATGCAGGGCTCAATCTGGTAGGCATGCTCAAAGGCTGCCTACTGGATCTGTCCCACTCAAAATCTGGCTGGAGGAAGAGGTGGTACTGTCACTACCCATCTTATAAATTTTAGGTCAGTGTTTAAAGCACTCATCAGTGATGTGGAAGACTCAGGTTCAATTCACCCCTCTCTGCCTCAGGGCCAGGAACGATTTGAATAGGGGTCTCTCAGGTGTAGGCTCTAATCACACCCCCTCTCCCCCCAATGGGACAACTGATATTTCTGACAAGTGGTGGGTGCAGATTTCTTACAGGAAGGGCAGTTTGTTTGCTTCACACAGTTCACCTGAGTACAAGTGTCCTCAGCAAATCCACAGACTGGCAAGTAGCAGTTAGCAAGGAGAGTTTTCTGTTCATTTATCTCCCCTTTTTGGAGAAAAAGACAGAACTTTATTTTCCTTTGTTACTCTGAGCAGAGAACAACAGCTCTTAAGCTGGCAATCAGGATATAGAAAGGGAGGTGTGTGTAGGAGGGGGGGAAACAACATGGTTACATATAATTTACTTTTACATTTGATGAAATAATCTATTTGTGATACAGCTTTCTAGATTTTCTCCTTAACTGGATAAAGAAAGAATTCTATACCCATCAGACTTCTACAGCCATTTGAAAAGTCTTATTTCTGTGCAGCTGTGTGTTAATGATAGTTAATTTATATGGTAATGTTAACTACAGGACTTGGCTTTTGTTAAGACTCACAATAAAGGAGCTATATAGCCATCTGAGGAGGTCTTCAGGATACAGTGGCTTGCTCCAATTCACTGTATCAAAAGTCTTGGGAGGTTTTTGTTTTATGAAATGTGTTTATTATTTAATACCCTCCCATATAGTATGACACCACGTTGATTTAGTATCCGGTCTATTTCCATGAATGCCAGCCCTCCCTCCCCAAAAGTTACTTGTATAACAAGCTTTAATATAACAATCAAGTAAACATGAATTTGGTTTTATTTACACACTGACAATGTACTCACAGTGCTCCAAGGACACAAAATCCACAGTCCCTGCCTTGATTAGTTTATACAATTATTTAAACTACAGTAAAATGGTATACCATTACTCAGTTTTATAAGAGATTGTTAGATGTATCAACACATTTGCTTTCAAATCGCTAGATTTCAAAACCTGAATTATGGTAAAAACTTAAACCATAACTACTAGCAGCATAAGATTCAAACAAGTGTAAAATACATGTTGTAAAATTTATTGCTAGTGAAAAATAAATACCTATTGCTCACAGTTCATGCAAACTGCTGAACTTGAATGTAAGAGACAACACATCCTTCTCCGAAAGTCCACATGCACACAAATTTAACATAAATCATGTATGCATTTTAACTATAGACAGATAAAGTATTTTTAAAAATACTTTCAGTTGTACCTAAAAGAGAGGTTTAGGGTTTTGGGCATTTTTTTTAAATTAAAATAATTTTATATGCTGCTACTGCTATAGAGCAATTTTAGGAAATTAACAGTTTTATTACATATTGAAAATTCATTAATAAGGAGTTCTCTACCACAAGGCTGATATCACGGCATAAGAAACAGAGGGGAAAGCAGCTTTTTCAAGCTGTAGAAACTTTCATAAATTTCTAGAACAGAGTAGTACATAAACAGTGTATTTATATTAGAATGACTCTGACATTAAATACTTGGTTTACAGTTAACCCCATTCCGAAAACATGAAAATGCTGATCTTGAAACTGCCAGGATGTCTCTCATCCAGTCATGCCCATCTTTTTGTATACTATGTTTCTGTTACTTATTTGAAGTATCTTACTGACCTCTTTTAATGAAACCATATCAAAACTGTTTTTTGTCCAAAAACCCTCTCAGGTATCATCAGTCAAACACTATGACAGGACTGTCATAATTCAACCTTTAAAAGTTATAGTTTGTCAGAGAAAATGTGTTTGTGTGTGTGTTGTTGTTGTTCTCCTTATTTTAAGGCTCCAGTTTCCCAAAAGTCTTTCAATCAAGAAAAATGCATGAGTTACGTTGCTGGTTCTAACTTCTTGATCTCCTCTGCTAACACATGCCTTGAATCCTGCTCTCTGCTTTTGCCCTGTTGTAAGGTGTACACTGATGGGCCCAGCCTCATGATTTTTCCACTGCCAAGGCACTCGTCACCCTTGTAGAACACCGCAAACTAGAAGACAAACACAGCAACAGTCTTTAGAGCACTGGCAAGGTGGCATGCTGAGAGACTGACCGATAAGAAGGGAGATCTCCCTGAATAGTCATGATCATATTAAATTTATTCCCTTGTATTTGCCCTGACCACATTACATAAAATGGGAGTGTAAAGAGAATGAACAAATGGATAGAATTGTTGACTCATAGGAGTATAAATATAAAATTTGATGGAAATTCCATCATGAAATTTTACAATATTACATGAAAAATCAATGGTAAGATAGTTATTTTAATTCTTTTTCTTGATGATGGAATCTCTTTTTAGTTATTATGTAACACTTTTTGTTTGAAAAGCTTTTCAATAAGGGGCTGATAGTCACATAAGTAGAGTGTATCATTTTCACAGGAGGCTCTTCAAAAGTCTGAGTTATACATTCTATAGTGTGGTACTGAACTCTTAACTCTTTGTGCGATGTGAAAGGCTGTTATGTTACCTACCAATGTTTAATTTTTCTTTTCACTTTTATGCTGGGACATGTGAATCTGTCAGAAGCAGATAACCTCTGGACATACAAAAATCAATAGTACTCCCCCAATCAAACATTAAATATGAAAGTCAGTATCACAAAGTTTCTAATGAGCAAATTACTAACCAAACTCCTGATTCAATTCGTGTATGTATTTAGACCCATAACAGATTCAGTTTCTGCATACAGGGTCTGATCCAAAGTCCACTAACATCCAAGGGAATATTTACATGTATTGCAATGAGCTTTAGAGAGGCCAAAAGTTTCTAAATCAAGTTTCTTGCATTTTGGTTTTTGGAGAAAACTTTCTGAATGTTAGTAAAATAACTGAGTGATGATTTAGATAGCCTGAAACAACAGTTCTGTAAAACTGGGTGGATGAACATTCTGAAGTTCTTCTAACTGATGTTATGCAGTTAATAAAACATGGGATACTAGTAAATAGAAATTAAAAGAGAACCAATTCTGGCAACACTTACTTGCCCTAGTGTAAGAGCTCTTATTGGCTTGACTAGTGTCACCCACACTGTCCCATCTTGGTTTAGAGTTAACATGGAAGGCACTAAAAGAGAAAATTGTTAAACAGCCAGCTAGCTCACCCTTATATTCACAAATAAATTAACTGTTTTTCACTGGCTTAAACAAGTCTAATGAGTGAAGATGTCTCCAAAAATAATGCTTTTTAAGTCTTTAAAAAATGGAAAAGTATCATTAGCACAAACATTTTTATCTACTTGTGAGAAATTATATTAGACCCTATTTCAATCTATCACCCAAATCAGAATTTGAATAGATTTAAATGTACGAAGTTTAATCACCTAGTGCCATCTGATGCTGAAACCTGAAAGTACACTCCATCATTTTGTCCCTAATTAGCTCAGCAGGAGGTTCGTCTGCAATCCAGTGCACACGGTTTGTCCGCAGTAGGTCTCTATACAGTGCAGGGTGATCTGTAGATGGTGCCTTAAAGTACAACATTTTTGTTTAACACCAATGTTTATGCCAGATATTACATAACTGTTGTGAATGAAAGCATAGGATTTCAGAAAAACATCAAGGTATACCACAATAAAAGCTAATCCACTAGTAAAGCAAGTAGATGTTAGATTCTAACCAGGTTCCTTAAATCTTTCATGAAAAAAATATGCCATAGCAAGTCTGAATTACTATTCAGCGTCATGCTCCCTTCACCCCCACAGTTATGTCAGCTCATTTGTGCACTTCTCCCACACAATCCTCGCCAGCCCTTTCTCCATGCTGACCCTTATGCAGTATTATCCTTGTTATCTTGATCCAACAAGTCCACTATCTTTTCTTCATCCAAATCCCTTTCTAAGATTCACTTCTTCCTTGATATCCATTAAACAAACTGATATTTTTAAAAAAAGGAATTGAGAAATCAAGATGTGCACATGCTTATAATGAGGAAATGTGATTTGTTGTTGTGCCCTTGTCCTTATTCACCCATTCCCCACTCTACTGATTTACCCTCACTTGTCACATCATATTTAACCGACTGTAAGCCTTCTAGGGGTGTGGACCACGTCTTATTTACCATTTGTTCTAAAAAAGTGACTCTCATACTTTTGAGTGCTGTAATGTAACAAGCTCCCAACTATCACAACCATCATTACCAATCATAAGACACCAAAGATGTTTGGACTTTAAATCTATGCTATTCTATTGATTAATTAGCATTGGGTGATGGAAGACAAATGCCAATTCATGTGACACACTACCTCTGGAAGGAATTTTTGAGAAGTAGGTAAAGCATAATGAGTTAAAAAAACATGCCACTGGAGGTGCTTCTCAAGCTATTATTTTGTCATTCTGCCAGTGGCATAAGGGAGAACACCACAAATCTGAGTAGTCAGGAATCCAAGCTGCAACCAAGAGGAGGTTCTTACATCAGTGTCTCTAAGGCATGAAATAATTCTCGTATGCTCATTTCTCTCCTTCTCATCCCCTTTTTAGTTTACAGTGCTGTCTTAAGAAAGCACATCTGCTATAATGAAACACTCCAGAGAAAGAAAAATAACATCACTAGCCAATTAGAGAACCAAACATTGCACAAAACATTAGTGATGTTAGGGTGCTTCAGAATGCTGGAGAATACTACATGTTGACGGGTCAGTAAGGCAGAAATTATTTACGGAGCTATATCTTGTCTGTTTTCACAGAGAGGTGAAACTGTACTAGTGTTCAATACTTCATTTTCTAGCAACTTGCTATGCCAATATAATAAATTAAATGTTTTAAAGTATTATGTATTGTGCCACAGTGGCTGTATGAAAAACCACCTGCGTTTTGGAGTAGTACATTGGAGGCTGATTGCCAATAGTTTGGAACATACTTCAAGCTAAAATCTCTAACAACTTTCTACTAATCAGAAGCCAAATTTTTGGACAGGATGTATAAAACCTGTTAATGCTATATCAGTTGGTAGCTTTTGTTTCTCTTTTAAATGGCAAAGAGAAGACTTCTACATAGATTAGAATCAGGGCTGGCCTTACCATGAGGTGAACTGAGGTGGATGCCTTATGTGCCAGTCTGTGGGGGCAGCACCACTAGGACCCAGAGTGTAGAAAATTGTGTTTGCTGCTGGTGCATACATATTATCTCTGCTCTAGATGCACAGAGATGGTGGAGTGCTGTGCTGGAGGAAGGAGGGCACAAGAGACGTAACAGTCAGGCAGGAGAAAAGGTGAGAGGGAATAACAGAAAGCAGCAGGGGCTGCAGAGAGAAAGAGGAGGAGGAGCCTCTTATGTACCTCTCTAGAACCCCCAGGAGCCTGGACTGATTAACACCAGCTTCTCAGGGAGCTTCCTGTTTTCTGCTGCTTTCCTGAACCCACTTGAGGAGAAAAGGCAGTCAATTGAAGTAGTAGGAGCCAGTTAGGCCCTTAAGACGCTGGTATCTTCCCTCACTCAGGCCCTGCTACCAGCCTGCTTATTTGTCCCCTTCAACTGAGTGTTGAGATCCACTATAGCTGGCACAGAACAGCAGTCATGACTGAAAGAAGAAAACGCCCCTCTGGGGCAGCATTCAGAAAAAGAAAGCAAAGGAAGCTTTTCTATCTAAGCAGGAAGGAGCTCTCCTGAGATACATAGACACAAATGTTCACGGTGAACCTTCCGGCCCCAGTGAGGATGTGAGTGGTGAGGAGATGCCTGATCTTCCAGTTAGAGTGCAGGTGACCTGGTAGCTACTGCAGCATCCATACCTCCATCTCAATGTGGATGAAACCACGCACATTCCTGAAGAGAAGTATAAATCAGAGAAGAGTGTGGTGGAGGCGCAAGAAACAGCTGCTGCTGAGTTTAGTTCCTTAAGTTTAGATGACCCAGGACTGTGGACCCACTTGAGCAGTAGCCTGAGGGAGTTCCTTATACTGCATGGGCCACAGCAAGTGAAAAACTTCATGTTCCCCAAAACAATGAAAATAGAAGTTTCCATCCAACACATTACTGGTGTAAAATCCCCAATGGTGACAAAGTGGAGAAGCCATAGATTATGTACTCAAAAACCCAGAATGCTGCATACTGTTTTTGTTGCAAATTCTTCCTGTCTAATGTTCCAGCCCCATTGGGTTCTACAGAAACACAGGACTGGAAAAATCTGGCATGCCATGAGAAGGCAGCAAATCACCAGAGAGCATTCCATAGGTGGAAAGAACTTGAACTGAGACGAAGGTTAAAGGCCACCATAGATGCTCAGCATCAAGAGAAGACTGCATCAGAGTCTCTTTATTGGCAAAATGTTCTGAAAAGGCTCATTGCCATTGTGAGAATGCTTGCAACCCAAAACCTAGCACTGCGTGGCACTTCAGATCAGCTGTATGTGCCAAACAATGGAAACTCACTTAAAATTGTGGAGCTGATGGTGGAGTTTGATGCTGTACTACAGGAGCATCCAAGAAGAGCCACCACCCAAGAAATGTACACACACCACTACCTTGGAAAAACAATTCAAAATGAGATCATAGAGTTACTGGCAACAAAAGTCAAACAGAAGATTGTGGCAGATCTGAAGTCAGCAAGATATTACTCTGTTATTCTGGACTGCACACCTGACATCAGCCATACGGAACAAATGACTTTAATGGTGCGTTTTGTAACAACAAAAGAACCTAGTGAAAATGTCCCTGCAATGGTGACTGTCAGAGAGCATTTTCTAGAATTTATTCACATTGATGATACTACAGGAGCTGGTATGACAATGTGCTTCTTAAAAGCTGGAAGATACATGACATGATAGCTGACATGAGAGGTCAGGGCTACAATAATGGTGCCAACATGAGAGGAAAGAACAGAGGAGTGCAGACACGGATCCGAGAGTTAAAACCTTGAGCTTTTTTTGTCCCATGCAGTTCTCATTCACTGAACTTGGTGGTCAGTGATGCAGCAGCTTTTAGTGAGGCTGCTGAATTTTTTAATGTAATTCAAAGCATCTATGTATTTTTCTCTGCATCAACTCATCAATGGCAAATTTTGAAGCAACATCTGGGAACATCCTCTCTGACACTGAAACCACTGAGTGCCACACAATGGGAAAGTCGAGTGGAGGCGATAAAGCCTATCAAACACCAAATTGAGAAGTTTCAGAGTAGCAGCCGTGTTAGTCTGTATCCGCAAAAAGAACAGGAGTACTTGTGGCACCTTAGAGACTAACAAATTTATTAGAGCATAAGCTTTCGTGGGCTACAACCCACTTCTTCGGATGCATGCATCCGAAGAAGTGGGTTGTA